ACAACCCCCATGTCCAGGCTCCACTGCTGCTCTCCTCCATCACCCATCTCCCTCCAGCAAGGGCCATGCTTGTGGTCCCCACAGCAACAGGAACATCCTGGCTCTTCCACCCCATAAGAACCAGAGGCAAGAACACGTTAAAAAGCCCCCCAAAGCTGGGAACATCCCAGGCTCTGTAGCACAGGAATCGGTCCTGCGGCTCGGTGACGAGGAGAGATAAGGGCGAGGATTGAGCCTCCAGTTTGTCCCCCTGGAGCTACCGCTGGATTAACTCAGCCTAACACTGTTTAAGGAGCATTTACATGCAGAGCTTCTGCAGCCCGGCCCTCCAGTGCTGCGGGGTTAGGCAATGCCTCTGGCTTTTACCTTGGCTCCGGATCTGTTGACTCTGGAAAAGCCCCAGGTTTTGGAGCACGTCCATTAGAACAAGCAGCACTGTGGTCATCCAGGCTCTTCCCTTCTGCCCATGAACCATAGAGACCACGAGCTCTGGTACAGCGTGAGAAAGGGGGAAGCTGATCACCAGCCATGGGGAATCAGTGGTTCCTGGAGTGGGGCTGCTCTCCACAGCATCACTGATATCTTAGTGTCCAATGGTCCTCCAACACCAGCAGGCAGTGACTGGAGCATCCCAGAGATGTGTGTTCAGGACAGGGACAACTGTAGGGTGGCAGCTCCAGAAAGGGTAGCCCATGGGAATGCTGTGAGATGGAGGAAACCTGCCCCCTCTGCCCCCATTTCAAATGTATCTCTCTCTATATATAATACATATATATGTTAGGCTGCAGTAACCAGGACCACACCACCAGGCTGGGCTGAGCAGAAAGAGGAGCTGTCGAAGTCATGAGATGCTCCAGCCACACAGTGCAATGCACACAGAAGCCACCCTCAGCTCCCTGGATTTCATGGTCCTGATGCGTTTATGTCACCTCATGCCCAGATTTCCTGGCTTTATAAAGCAGGACAACGCTTTTATTCCTGCTCTCCAGGTGGGAAACGGAGGCGATGCCCTTAGTGAAGGTCACAGTGGGGGTCCTGTGGTACAGTCAGCAACTGACCCCATGTCTGAATCCATCCAAACCAGTGGGCAGCTCTCATGTGTATGCCATTTCTGTTTGAGTCTCTCCCCAGGGACTCATCTCCCATCTTCCCCCTTTAATTACAACAATTAGTCCTTTCAGGGTATATTTAAGGGGTTTTCTCCTCCTGCGTTGACAAAGTGCAACACTTGATCACTCTAACCCCAAATTCTCTGGGACACAGAGACCCTGGCAATTACAAAACACTTCCAAGCGCGCTCCATCAACCCCTTTGCTGTTGCCATTAGTATGCATTAACATTTTATTGGTGTTACAGGATGAAACATCCAGTCTTGCAGCTCCAGTGGGCTTGGGGATTTCCAGCATCCTGCAATATGTATCCGTGCAGAGGAAATTAAAATGTGGATGGATCAGCAAGATACAGGCAAATCCTCCACAGTCATTTGGAGAAGACTGAACTCAGGTGCTAGTGGAGCATATTCCAAGCTATCTAATAGAGAGCTGATGATCTCTGTAACAGCCTTTTTGTAAGTTTTATTCTTGCCTACAAGGGGGTTTTTGCAAAGGGAGGACGCAATACCTGAACTGATGGTTTTAAAGGTACATGCTCTGAACAAGGGAAAGGAAAACCCTGTGCAGAGCAGTTGTTTGATCAGCCAGTGCCCTATAAAATACCCTCCAGTACCTTATAATCTAGCTGGGATCCCTTTCTAACCACCACACCAATCAGTTTTATGTAGCTTGTAGCCATTACAGGACATATCGACTCTTTGGAATATTGGAATGCTTTGCTCTTTTAGCAATAGTACAACATCATATTCTCTTCAGCTGCATTACCTCTTGAAACCCAAGTGCTGTGTGTCTACACAGTGCTGGGTACCTCATTAACTCTGCATAAATCAAGTGCTCTATAGCTGCACAACCACGCAACCATCAGGCTGGGCTCCAGCACCACAGACCTCCCCATCTCAACCTGTTTCTACACATAAAACATACACGTTTTCTACAACCATCCTTGTTTCTACACATAGAAATAAGGAGGAATTGGTGTCAAAACAGAGGATTTGGGTACCTTGACTTGGCCAGTGCACTCTGCTAGGGTTTATCCCTCCTTCATGTGTTAGAAACAGATGGACTGATACCCAACTGCTCCTCTGCCTTCTCTCCTGCCTCCATTTGTAGGCTCAGCAAATCCTTGACCGCATCCTTAACCTACTGTTACCAAAAGGAGCAGGGATGAGCTCAGGAGGACCTGAACGCACCCCTTGGTGCCAGCGGATCCAGGCCTTGCAGCGCCATTCCCACAAGACCCCATCCTGTTCCCATAGGGGTGCACGCAGCGAGCACTGAGAAGCCCGAATCCTGATGGGGGGTTTTGATGTTATTTATTATCTGTGTTACAGCTGCAACTGGGGACATGGGGAGTGACTCCCTCCAGTTTTAACAACTGTCTTTACGCCCTGCACAGAGCCGGCCGATGCAGACATTCCCAAGCCCAGGCTCTTTATAGCAAGCAGAAGCACCCACTTCACCTCCTCAAAAGCCTGCTCTAACCTCCAAAGCCTGCTCACAGCCACAACAAGCAGCTCTCCAAGCTGAAGATGCTCGTCGGGGTTCAGCCCTTTTCTCTGTTTGGCTCATCCTAGTTCAGAGTTTGGCACCATTCTCACAAGATCAGTCCAGGGAAAGAGGTGTTCGTCCCAAGGATGCTCAAGGAGCTTGTTCCGATGTCAATGGGAAGAGTGCTCATCCACTGAAGGGGAAGCAAAGCTAAAGGATGAAGATCTCTTCTCTTGGCTATTAGAGCATGAAATGACCTCCAAAAGCCCTGTTCTGTTCTACATCTGAGAAGCTGCTTGTGAAAGCAGCAATGAGACCCCCGTGGGCTTCTCAACCACAGAGGGTTCCCACTGGCACATGGGCAGCAGGAGAGCCCAGGTCACGTTAGCAGCTATCCTTAACAACCAATTCCACCTTCTCCCACTCATTTCTGCCTCCTTCCTTCCCTCTCTCAGGAAGGAAGTCAACACAGTTCCATGGACACAGCGCAGCATCAGGGCTCTTGCATGGTTCCTTGCGATACAAAGCACATCTGCATCCTGGAAACTGCCAGCTCAGGTTTTGCTGCTCACCAACTGCTGGTCCTGCAGTGGGGACTTGTTTATTTCATAGCAGGAACCCAGCGCTACGTAATGGAACTGAGCTGCACACCAGGGACAAGTTAATGCAGCAACAATGGCATGAAACAGTTCTATTCTTTCACTGCCATCACCGCACGAGGCTGCTTAACTCTTACTTCATTTATTCCTGGCTGCCATGAACAACCACTTGTAAAGGAGGGATGTGAAGACAGTGTTGAATAACACCACGAACCAGCCAAAGAATGGCAACCCCAAAGGATCCAGTTGGGAAAACAGAGCTTAAAAGCCTGGCTTGGTCAGTTGGGCTGAGGGGGAAGATGGTGAGAAACCCACACCACATCTGCTTCCCCTTCCCCGCGCGTCACGGTCACCAAGGGATGTGCTCAAGATGAATTCAAGTGCCTCCAAAAACATCTATGATCCAAGAGGATATTCCTGCTCAGCATCCATCCCTCCACGCTGCTGCTGCTTTTAGCAACATGCACTCACACAGCTGTCCTGTGTTGACAGAGAAGATAGAACCCAGAGACAAGAACACCAGCATTTGCTAAGCACATCTACGCTCGCTCCAAGCACTCCTGAGAAGGTCCAGGTATGATTCCCTATGGGAATCCAACAAAGCTGCTGACTAAACTGATGCTGGATGCTCCAAGTCAGCCCCTACAGCAGGACAGGAGAAACAGCTGAAGCAAAAGGGTTCCAGATCTCCCTCTGCTTCACAAACAAGGCTCAAACATCCTTTGGTTACCAAAGTCTCTGATCTTCAAGGTATCTGCTGGCCTGGGAACAGGCTTCGCACATCATCTGCCTGCCAAAGCCAAGCTGGGACAGAGGGGGATGGACACAGCCAAAACATACCTATAGGAGAAAGACACAGGAAGGAAGGAGGCACACACAGACGGTACCCCCGCTTCATGCACTTAACTAAGCCAATGGTGCAAGCAAGAGATCAGCCACCAACACAGCAAGTGCCTCCACAAAGCCTCTTCCCTGTGCCGAAGGCTCCAGCCACGCTGGCTCTGCTCCCAAAGCAGGAGCAAACCCCACTCTGGGGGAGACCAAGAGTCCCCAGTGCAAAACACAGAGGTTGAATCACAACCACAACGGTGGAGGAGCTGCCCTGGGGGCTGCTACCTGCATGGAGCTATGGGTAGAGGAGCAGAGCCCCCAGAACCAGTACAGATGGCAGCGAGAGGAAGGCAAGCAGCCAATTGCCACGCGACAGGGGCACATCCCAAGCAGGAGGATAAGACCCAGACAAGAATTAGCTGTCTGAAGTCCAAAAGCCCCTAAGCAGGACACATCTGCAGACTCAGGCAAGCCAGAAACACAAGAGCTCAACGTGAGCATCCTCCTCAGCAGGTCCCCAGCGCAGGGACAGCGTCCCCAGGGAGCAGTGGCTGCAGCTGCAGGGGAAGGAAGCACCTCCCCACCTGGTTTTGGTGCTGTGTGTCAGACTCTTGATGTTCCTCCCATGCATGGATGTGAACGTTTCTACCCATCCTTTTGCATGGAAGCCCCCTTTCCATGGGATGACTGGAGCACCTTGGGCAGCTTTGGGATACCATGGGCTCTAGCTCAGCCATTGCCAGCCAGATGCTGCAGAGCCACTTCACGCATGGTGACACTTGCCTAAAGCCACACAGCATGGAAATGCCTGTTGTCCCACTCCTGGCACTAAACTGCTCCTCTGGACATGGAGCCGCTGGGTCCCAGCAAGCACACTGACCACCAGCACCGCATCAGGAATGGAACCCTTTGGAAAGCCAACACAAAACACAAATCCCATTAAGGAGTAAAACAAGACTTAACCCCAGTCTTCCAGTTTCATTCCAAATGCAAGTTTATAGGGTTGTTTCAGCAGGTCAAAAGATCCTTGTCCCTGCCCAGGGCCGAGCCAGAAGCAGACGGGACAGCAGCAGTGCCAGAGAGCTCTGCTTTAGCTCTGCAGACACCTGCATTTCACTGCCTCTATTCAGACCCTTTTCTTGCTCTCCCTCCCCTAGGAACCTTTACAAGAGGAGCAAGCAGGTCTAACAAAAAGAAAATAGTGAATAAAATACAAACTGAAGCTAAGAAGCCACAAGCAGGTTCCCCACCACCACCACCACTGTGGGACTGCCAGGGAAAGGATCCCTGCTGCAAACACCACACCAGAGCCCTGTGTCCCCCACTCCCAGCCTGGGAGCCCCCCAAAAAGGAACATCCCCTCTCCAGATGCAAAGCTATGGATCACCTTGGTCAATCCACATCAGCTCATCTCAAACCCAGCACCAGCTGTTCCTGGCCCCCAAGTGATGTTGCTGGCATGATCTGGACCACATCTCCATCCATTCACCTGCCTTCGAGATGCTGCTGCTCTTGGCACTGGAAGTGTGGTCCCTCTTCCCCGAGGTCCAGCACAGCAACACCAGCAGGGAATGACAAAGAGAAAGAGCTTTCTCCAGGTATAACCTGCTATGCCAGACTATTTATGCCTTTTGTTTCAGCACAAGTATATAAACACATGGAAAGCTGCATGCTTGCCCCCTCATGCTGCCTTCGCTCTGGGGATGCCTCCCTAAAAGAGCTGGGGAACACGCTGCTTCGAGGGGAAATCCCTTTGCTCTGGGGCTGTCACTACAATTTATGACCAAGCAGTAGCAACCACTGTCACCTCGTGCCACTGAGGCCAGCCCAGCCCCAGGGCAGCAAAGCACAGAGGAGGAAGCAGGGAGTACAGAGGGCAGGTTGGACCCAGTGATGAAGGTGTGAGGTTTTGTGCCCGTTAAGAGGGAGCCTCAGCAGGCACCGCTTGAGCAGTGTCTTTCCATAGCTGTTCCCACAGAGCAGGGTCCCTCAGGGAACTTGGCTCCGGCTCCAGAGCCAGCTCAGCCCCCCACAGCCCACAAAAGATCCTCAGCTTCACCCAAGAGAAGAGGCGGTGTTGGGAAAGAAAGACCCAGGGAACCTTGCAGAAGAGACGGAGGGAGGGGGCTTTCATTATCCACAAGAAGGGAAAGGTGAACCCTGGGCTTCCAGCAACCCACAGACATTCCCTACAACTCCCTTTCCCCATTCCAGCCCTCCCCGTGTGAGCAGAGGTGGCTGCGCACAGACAGCGCAGGCTCACACCTCGCCCCTCGCACTGGTTTCCCAAACCAAACAGCAACAGGAAACGTCAATGAAATTCAAAAGGGAAATTGCAGTTACCACTGCCCGACACATACACACGTGCCTTCCTCCCCCCCACACCATGAGAAGCAGAGGGGCTTTGCTACAAGGCAGCCCCTACTCAAACCCCATTCACAGCAGCCACGCTGCCCGCGGGCGCAGCAGAGAGAAGCACAGCCCCGGCTTGGGCGCTGGCGACACATCCACGTGCTGGGGACGTGCAGGAGGAGCTGCTCCGTGTCCCATCTCCCATGCAAGGCCAGCGAGTGCTTTGGGTCTGTGGTTGCTGATGAGGATGTGCAGGAAGGAACGGGCTGCGTGTGACGGGCACGGTGATGAGGAGGGGGTGAGGGGAGGAGGAAGAGCGCTGTGCTATGCCTCCGCTGCCTCCGCTCCTCCTGCGGCCTCCTTAGGACGTCACAGGCTGGATGGGGAGCAGGCTGCCGAACTTAAAGTGCTGGATCACAGGAAACTTCTCCAGGCACTGCAGGAGAGATAGAGAAGGGTGAATTCAGGAGACGTTTCCACCTTACGCATGCAGCCAGAGCTACATCCTGCCTCTGGGGTCAGGAGGCAGCGCTTTGGGGCCGCTCGGCTCAGCTGCAGGCAGAGGGGTCGGTCCCATGTCTCCCCCCCACAACATTCCTGTCAGGCTCCTCAGGCCAGTAACACTTCATAATCCCATCCCCTTCCCATCCATGCAGAGCCTGTTGCCTGCTGAAATTCAGGCCTGGAGCATGAGCAGAAGAGGCACATTGATGTCAGCAGCTTTCTCTCTCGCCACCTCTCCTTGCTGGAGCTGATCTCTTTGAAGAGCTTCACTCTACAAACACTTTGAGAGCTGCAGAAACCCCCCAGGGAAGAGACTCTCCCTCCCCAGGACAGTGCCCACAACTGGGTCTGAGGCATCACCCTGCAGCCACAATGCCTAAACCATTCCAGGTTCTCAGGTCTTCGATAGACAAGCACCAGGGATTTTGCTGCCATAATTGAAGACGTGACACTATTCCCAACAACCTCTCACCCTGAAATTCCCACCACCATTGCAGAGTAATGATGGAAGGAGTATGGATCACAGATCAGCTGTATACACCCGCTACAAGGCAGCTTGAACTGTGAGGGCATAGCCTCCTCTGCTCACCATGCTGCCAGGGCAGGCAGGTCAGTGACTGTGCTCAATCACCATGTCTGGTTTGCCAGCACCAGCCTGGCACAGCCACTCAGGAGCTCTGTATCTTTGAGTCATTGCAGATTCAGAAGGCACAGAGCAGACTCACCTCCAGACACACAAACCTCAGCAGTACGTGTGGACCAAACCCACACTGCACCCACACCAGCATCACTGGGGTCAGTTGTGAGTAGTTGTGCTGAACAAGGGCCATAGAGCACCTCACTGTGCTGCAATGGGGCTCATCTACCAGGGTGCCTAGGTATGACTAGTGAGGTGGTGGCCACCTCCTCGCTGTAGGCAGAGGGGCAAGTTCTTCCCTCCCTTAACAGCATGATATGAAGAGAGAAAAAGAAAGCCAAGTGCTCTTAGGAAGGGAGACTTTCCCTTGTGCACAGCTGAGGCATGGATCTGATGATGGGAGTCTTGTTCTACAGGAGATGTGAAGGACAACCACAGAACAGCAGCTACCAACTAACAGGAATCCATCTACGTTCTTGGCAGAAAGAGCATCTGCTCAGAGCTGGAGGGATGGATGCTGGAGGGATGGATGCTGGAGGGATGGATGCTGGAGGCAGGCACCCAGCTCCCCACAAGCTGCAGCCCCAGCAGGAGGGTGTCAAGGCCACACTGGCTCCTGCCTGCAACCAACAGCCTCCCAGGCACATCTTAGGCACAAGATGCACAACTCATTCCTCCAGGCTCTTCTTCAAAGCACAGTTCCTTCCTACCAAAGGGAGGCAAGAGCCATGCTGTGGTTACCACTCTTCCCTCCATAGGAGCCTTGTGCCCTTCACCAGGCTGAGCTAAACCCACTGCAGCAGGGTTGATCCCAGAGTGGGGAGGAAGCAGTGTGCTGCAGACAGCTCTCACCCCCGAGGCAGGCAGCCTATCCTTGTGCTGTCATCACAGGCAAGCAGGCAGATTTTTGCTCAGAAGCCCAGGCCTATGGTAACCCCTCTGGAGCCAGTGGTCAGACAACAGGTTCCAGCACAACTGAACTGCTCGCAAGCATGCTAGAGCCAAAACAAGTTTGGAGGTGGGGAAAGTACACCACAGCACTATCCAAACCTGGGGAATAGCAGCCATGCAGAAACCCACACGCCTCCATGGCAAGGCACCAAGGAGAAGTAAGGCCTGTGACCATCAGGACACATCACCTTTGAAACTTCCTAAGGCTCAGAGCTGCTGCCATCTCTCTGCAGAGCCCCTCAGACAAACCCTTGGAGGAAGCAGGGCTGGATAACAGTGACATGAGGGAAGAGCTAACAAATGAGTACTGGAGATGTTGACATCCAGAAATGTCAGCCCTATTAGCTCCAAGGGGTCCCATGGAAGACCAGCCTGGTTTGGGCTCCAGATGAAGAGCCTTTCCCACCAATGGGAACAATGGCTATCCATTCCACTTAACATATTGCCAGCCCAAGAGGAGACAAGCAGAGAAACTTCCTCCTCTATCCAACAGGACAAGCACAAACTGACTGGATTACTAGGGGCTGAGAGACAGGACTCTCCTTGCATCATTTTGAGTGAGATCCATGCAGCCAACACTGGCTCAATGGAAGGGACAGGCTTATTTTCTTCTTGTCACCATCTTGATCATGCTGAAGGTCTGCTTGGGACTCAGCTGGGGAGTCGATTCACACATCGAGTCCAACCTTTAAAGATGGAACTGGGACTAGATTAGTTACAATGGAAAGTATTTCCCGAGTGACTGCAGAGAAGGAAAGGTCAGGAGACTCAAAAGCAGGCTCAGGGGGAAAACATCAAGGCTGCTGCTATAACCAGATTCTGTTCTGTCGACTCCTTCACTCGCTTTTGATGGAAAGAATAAGAAATGCCCTTGTGCTTCCACACATCTTCACCCATTATATTTATATTATAAATAGACACGTTTGAGATTCCATAAACACACAGAGCTGAAGACACATTGTCTTCAATCTACTGCCCACCCACAGACCCTGCAGCAAGCACCCTGGAGCACCTAAATCCAGCCCACAACTCCCAGCCATGTGGATGTACATGGTCTTTCTGTTGGCTGATTAAAGTCATAGCACAGAAGGGACAGAGAAGAGATAAAGCATCCACAGTGCTGTCAAATGGCCCAGGTCTGGGGACTGCCCCACTCCTACCAAGTGAGAGCAGGTTATGAGTGAGCATTTGACATCTCCTGGTCTGCTCCCAGCAAGCGAGCCCTTTGCTCTGCTGCTGCCTCTACTTAAAACCCAGCACTGAGAACCTCTCAGCCACCCCAGACACGTTCAGGAGCTGAAGCTTCGATCGGTGTCTGATTTCACCTGATCTACCTGCAGTGGGTGATCAGAGGGGCAGGGGGAAGGGAGAGGCACTTTGCTTGACTCAATGTGTTCCACACCTCAGCCTCAGTTTGTGTCATTACAGACTGTGTGTCCTCCCCATTGACACAGCTCTAGGTATTTCCAGCAACCCAGCAGTACTGGATCCAGCATTCCCACAGAACACCCTCTGCTATTCAAATCAGACCAAGGCCTCCAGAAAAGACCACATCTTGGTGCACCCAAAGGAGCCAAAGAACCCAGCACTTCCTAGAGGATCCTTAAGCTGTGCCAGAGAGATCTGCCCCAAAACACCAGTGGACAGGCACACTGCACTGTGGGCATATCACTGCCAAGCTTCTCCAGCCATGTACGTGGTGCATGAAGTGGAAGCAACCCTACAGTGTAGGGCATGGGGGGCACCAAGCAGGAGCAACCCAAACAGTACAGGGCATGTGGGATGTACCAAAACAGCATGCAAGGGAACTGTGGAAAGGAAAGGAAAGGAAAGGAAAGGAAAGGAAAGGAAAGGAAAGGAAAGGAAAGGAAAGGAAAGGAAAGGAAAGGAAAGGAAAGGAAAGGAAGGAAAGGAAAGGAAAGGAAAGGAAAGGAAAGGAAAGGAAAGGAAAGGAAAGGAAAGGAAAGGAAAGGAAAGGAAAGGAAAGGAAAGGAAAGGAAAGGAAAGGAAAGGAAAGGAAAGGAAAGGAAAGGAAAGGAAAGGAAAGGAAAGGAAAGGAAAGGAAAGGAAAGGAAAGGAAAGGAAAGGAAAGGAAAGGAAAGGAAAGGAAAGGAAAGGAAAGGAAAGGAAAGGAAAGGAAAGGAAAGGAAAGGAAAGGAAAGGAAAGGAAAGGAAAGGAAAGAAGGAAAGGAAAAAGGAAAGGAAAGGAAAGGAAAGGAAAGGAAGGAAAGGAAAGGAAAGGAAAGGAAAGGAAAGGAAAAAAAAAAAAAAAAAAAAAAAAAAAAAAAAAAAAAAAAAAAAAAAAAAAAAAAAAAAAAGGAAAGGAAAGGAAAGGAAAGAAAGGAAAGGAAAGGAAAGGAAAGGAAAGGAAAGGAAAGGAAGGAAAGGAAAGGAAAGGAAAGGAAAGGAAAGGAAAGGAAAGGAAAGGAAAGGAAAGGAAAGGAAAGGAAAGGAAAGGAAAGGAAAGGAAAGGAAAGGAAAGGAAAGGAAAGGAAAGGAAAGGAAAGGAAAGGAAAGGAAAGGAAAGGAAAGGAAAGGAAAGGAAAGGAAAGGAAAGGAAAGGAAAGGAAAGGAAGGAGGCAGGGCTGTTGAGGCAGCAGCAGAGCACACTCTAGCTTTTAGGGGACCACTTTAACAGCATCCCCAGGGCTGGGGTCTTCCCACCACCCCCCAACTCTCACACCAGAGCCCCCAGCTCCGGGTTTCCTGGCAGCCCACACTGCTGTGAGCAGGGGCAGTCCCAGAGGAGCAGCTCAGGGGCACCCCTCCGAGGAGCAGCCAGGGGAGGGGGTCACCCCCCAGCCCCATTGCTCCCCTTTGGAGGCTGGGAGGAAAGCTGAGCTGGGGGCGGAAGGAGCCAGCGGGCCTGGGAGTGACACCTCACAGATTAGAGAGGTATGTGGCCTGGAACCTAAACACAGGATGTGCAGTGCAGAGGAAGGGCTGGGGGAGGGAGCGCCGAGTTCGGCACAGTTAACCCCTTTGTGCACTGGGCCTGAGCTGCCCGCCAGCCTCCGCCATATGTCCCAGCTCCAGGACCACAGAGAACAGGATTAACTCTTTCAAGCACTGCTGGGGTCCCCCCGGGCACCGCAGGGGGCTGCATCATCCCTGCTCCTCCAGCATCTTCAGCACAGCCCGTGCCACCCTGCAGAGCCAGCATGCTCCCATCCTTCCCAGCAAGAGATGCCGCCTGTTGGCTGTTCCCTCCGGAGGCCCAGATGTGGTGGTTCCTGTCCTGCTTCCTCAAGCTCAGGGTTAGCTCGAGCAGGAAGGAGAGATAAGGAAGAGCCAAAACTGCCCAGTTCCCCAGGTCAGGGCTGGCCAGGAAAGCCTGCTGGGGCAGCGCCAGCACAGCCCCGGTGCGTGGAGGGCTGCCAAGCCCAGGAGGTAGCAGTGGCCTCACCATGCACACTGCATGGGTGGGACATGGGTAGGAAGTGTTCAGCCTGCTCTGGGGCTCCTGAAACGTGGGATGATGATTTAAACTAAGTCTCCTTCAGCTGGTAAAACAACAGTGTGGGGATCAGAAAACCAAGCAGGGCAAGACACCAGCCCTAACCCTTCAGGTTAGATATAAAGAAGTTCTTTACTGTGAGGGTGGTGAGGCACTGGCACAGGGTGCCCAAAGAAGTGGTGAATGCTCCATCCCTGGCAGTGTTCAAGGCCAGGCTGGGCAGAGCCTTGGGTGACATGGTTTAGTGTGAGGTGTCCCTGCCCATGGCAGGTGGCTGGAACTGGATGATCTTAAGGTCCTTTCCAACCCAAACCAGTCTATCGTTACATAGTCTAATCTGGAGACCTGCAACTTGCACTATGGGAAGACAAGAAAGGGTAAAAGTCACATCTGCAAGGAATGGCCAATTTGGGATTGGGCTGGGGGCAAGCACTAGGCAGGCAGAAGCCTACTCCTAGCCAACAGCACCTGAACCATTCTGGGCCTCCAAGCCCCATACATCATGGGATAGTAACTGGCTGTGATGGAGGCCCCACACCAAGGAGCAGCAGAAGAGCTGACCCACAGTGAAGTGGAAGGGAGGAGGCGCGTGGGCAAAGCAGCCTCCCCCTGCCCATGGTGCTCACCTCTGCCTTGTACATGCGGATGAGGCCCTGGTTGACCTTGGACCAGGAGGGCACGGCGCTGATGTTCCAGAGCTGGTTGGAGTGCTCAGCAAAGGGACCCGTCTTCATCTGCAAGAGACCCAAAGCAGGGCTGAGGGAGCCAGGAAGCTCGTGCACCAGCAGTGACTCACGCTCACACTCTCTCCAAGCAAACATTCCCACCAAGCCCTGTGACCCACGCAGCAGCCACCTCACTGTGCCTTCCCTCCCTCCCTCCCTCCTGCTGCGGCCGCATCACACGAGGCCGTGGCAATGCAGCTCCCCACCTTCCTCAATTGGAATTAAGCCTTTTCCTGCCATGCTTTCCTCATCTGCACACCTCCCCTTTACTGATTGCATTAAAAACCCCACATAAGTCCCGTTCTCACCCCCCCCCCAGTAGAGCTTGGCTCAACGCTGTTCCTGTTCTACCCAGAAACCTCACAGTGCAGCTCTGCTGGGCTTTCCAAGAAAATGACTCATTCCCCATTCAGATCAACAACAGGCAGCAGTGACAACCGCCGCTGCCTTCCCTGCATACAGAGGGCAGTGCAGGTTGGCAGCAGCTCCGGTGCCTGCAGCCCGTTCCACACCTGCCTCTAGCACAGGAGGGCTCTGTGGGGAGGCAGGAGCAGAGGGGACACGCTCCACTCCCGCTCTCCAAACTGGCTCCATGGCTGCGAGCTGCAGGCTCACAGAGGATGCTTTAAATGTGTCTTGAATATGGGGGTTTGTAGTTGAATATCCCAGGGTTTCTCCTCCCAGGATTTGCAGGAGGGAGTGCCAATCAGGGACAGTTGCATGTGGATTCCCTCGGTCGTTGTCTCTCCTTCTCCTCCGTGAACAAAACCAGACCCTCAGGGACAAAAAGCAACACAAGGCAGCCACTCTGACTGAGCAAAGTTCCCATGACATCAGAAACCACAAGGCCGAAGCTCACGCTAAAAGGGAGCGTGGGGAGAGAGGAATCTCTTGGATTCTCCTTCTCCAACAACTAACCCCTTCCCTCCATGCACACACAGGCTAGAGCGAGGGTGGGAAAAGAGCCTCCAAAACCATCCCTCTGCCTGCTCTAAAAGCAAGCAAAGCCAATCAATCTGCTGTGGGAAATAGCTGCTGCCCTTCTGCAATATGTGTGGCAGCAAAGAGAGTGGGTAAGGGGAGGGAAAGCCAGAACACCCCACTGCTTGGAGGACAGCGTGTTTCAAACGCACTGGCCATGGGGCTGGAGCATCACAAGTGGGTCTGTAGCTCTGCTTGCAGTCAGGAGAGCGCAGGCACATCCCCACTTCCCCTCAGCAGTGCTTGGGAGCTGGGGGGATGACGGATGAGCTGTGCAGCCATTCCTGCTCCCCTCCACTGTGCACGTTCCTTGTGGATACGAGATGAAACATGCAGGTACACTGGATTAAGCCCAAGGATTTGGCACCCAGAGGCTTCCAGGGAGGTCAGCACCAGGCGGGTTGCTCGCAGCATCCCCGTATGGGAGCTGTGGCTGCGTGTCTTTCGACGCCAAACCCCCCTCCAGCATCACTGCTCTTCGCAGGGGCACAGCTTGCATCAGCCACCACCACTCTGCTTTGCTTCTCCCCGCTCTAAGCTGGAGTGAGCGTGTTGGTGAGCACATAAGAGGCAAGCATGGCTCTGCAGCCCCATGCTCGCACCACTGCGGCCCTCCTCACGCAGGGCACCAGTGAGGGATGGCTTGGCTATGGTTTGCCTACCGGGGAGGGAAAAACAAGGAGGATGAAGGAGGGGGAACCAAAAGGAATCATCTCCTTCCAGCCACAAAGGGCGAAGAGGGAGAGCGGGAGGGGAGAGCAGAGGCAGCGAGCACGCTGCAGTCCCGCAGTGACCCCAGGGGAACGGAGTGAGTCAGAGCAGCCATATTGAGCAGGAAATTACTCACAGACGCGGCGTTCCTGCCTCTCGGTTCCCAAGAGAATCGGCCTTTTGTAAATGGTTCCTCTGTCAGTGCCGGGGGGAGGGGGACGGCTGAGGCCGTGCTTTCCTGTCAGCTCCTTCCCTTCCAGCAGAAACCCGAGCCCTCCCTTCCCAAACCTCCAAATTTAGAAGCCAGATTGAAGCTGAAATTCCTGCTGCCTGCCCTGGGCCCTCGGAGGAGCATCTGGGCAATCACAGCGCTCCACTGCAACAGCCGGGGGGTACCCGCACCCCTCTTCTGCACAAACACACACAGCCCTTGCCACCGCTGCCATCCACAGCCCCTGGGGCAGGAGGCATCACAGAGATGCTCCCAAACCATCCTCATCCCCGCACCTATGGGTACCGCACACACACCGCAGCACACTTTGACAGCTCGAATCCCAGCCAGCTCCATAAACCTCACCCTATTCCAGACCCACAAATTCAGGTCCAAAATGACCCCACAGATTGCCCAGCTTACGCAAGGCTCCTGCAGGGTGGTGCTTGGTGAGCTCAGGCTGGACATCACCTCGCTGCTACTTAGGGTTTAAATATACACGTGGCAAACACCACGACAGCGTGTATTCATACCCTGAAACGTCACACAGAGGCTGAGAAAAGTATCTGCTCAAGGGCCTATCCTCTTGGTTGAAGGAAAACAACCAGCCTCAGTCGTAGCTTGCTGAAACAAAACCTGCTCTCATGTTGGTAACACGTACCGGAGACATGATGGGAACTGCTGCCGTGTTTGCTACGTGTTTAACAGTACTAAAGGAGAGCTGTTTCCAGCTGACAAGCTCAGAAGAAAATCACATCGTTCATTTATTAAAGGGTTTAATCCCTTCTCTCTTTTTTTTCCCTGCTATTTTGTTGTGGATTTTGGAGAGAACGTGGTTGGAGGGCACTCGAGGCTGTCCCAGCCCCACCTAGCGGCAGGAACAGCATTCCCAGGAAGTGGGGAGAGAAAGAAAACCCCCAAATTTAAAGGCAAACTCTTTCCTAAAGACAAGCAGTGCCTGCATGGAGGTGGACTGAAAACACCATGCATTCACCAACGCAGGATGCTGCCATTCCTCAGCCATCACGCCAGGAGGGCTCCTTGCCACCAGGTGGCACTGAGGAACTCAGAGAAAAGCCAAATTCCAGGATTCTCAACAAATGGGCAGGAAAAGGAGCAAAATCACTCGCTTTAGAAGTCTCCCAAGAAGCTGACTTTCTGCAGGCAAAAGCAGAGTGACCTGAAGCTGCAGCTCGGTGCTGTGTATCTTAAACCTGACGTGTGAGCTGTGCGCTGCACAACACTCTACACAGACACGTCAAGGGATGCATGGGTTTATGTATTTAACAGCTCAGTGCACTGTCTGGGTATGACAGAGGCCCACATTATAATGAAGCTTAAAGTAGCTTGGCTCCCACTTTCCTGTCCTCATCTTGATCTCCTCTACCAGCACCTCTTTACTACCTGTGGCAAGATTTATGTCCGCATTAAGGGTGAAACCCTGTGAGGTGCTAAGCACCAACAAACCCTACTACATTCAGCAGGATTTGAAACGGGGTTTGTGCCAAAAGCTCCATGAAAATTTCCTACATGAAAGGCTACTTTCATATTCCGTAACCTCCCTTCTCTCTAATCACTAAATTAGAGCTGAGTAGAGGGGAAAAGCAAACAGAACAAAGGGGAAGAATCACACTCTCACCTCCAAAGCAGCTGTCTTACAGAGATGATAAATCCCTTACCACAGCAGAGTATGGTGCTCTTGCTCTCTGTCCAGACCACACAGCAAGAGCGACAGTAGAATCATGGCCAGATGATCCAGCTGAGGGCAGAAAGCTGTGAGCTCTCTCACTGAGGACCACTGCCCATGGCTGGTAAACGGCTGAGTATCACCAGCCCCTTACCTCAAGGGTCCTACAGTGCTTGAGCAGAAACATAGTCCTGATGGTGTTGCCAGCTGAGTGAATCTCAGCACCATCTCTGCTCTAGATTGTGTGCAAATGAGGCACATTTAATGGGCAGCTCCTGGTAGAACATGAGGAGCCCAAGGTGCACAGAGGTTTGGGAGCCTGCCCTAAGCAAGGGGAGGCCCAGGGCCTGGCAGGCAGCACCCAAGGGCTGCAGGGAAGGGAGGTGATCTTGGCAAGCCCAGCTGGTTTGCAGCTCCTACTTCATCTTCCTAGCATACTGCAGGCACCAGTCTTCTCCATCCAAGTTCCCACTGACTGATCCAAGGTGATTTGTTTGCTCTTGTTACAGCTCCCTTCAACTGCAATCCACAGCCTATCTACCTTAATTATACTTCCCTCTCAACATCCCTGTCTCAACTCATTCAAGGAGAGCACCTCAGACATGCAACAATGGTCCATCCACACAGTTCCATGAGAGCAAACAAACGAGCAAAGGAGGAAGAGAAAACCACAGTGTCTATTGTAAAGAGAACTTCCCTGTGGGACAAACTCCCTTCCAGTCCTCACCTCTGTAATGAACAGGATGCACTCCAGGAACATGAAGTCCTTATGGTTTTCATTTACCACCTTCTCATCAACAAAGTGTCGAGGCTCCAGACTTGGATGGTCTAGAAGAGACAATAAGAAGTAACCTGGATGCTATCCCCCTCCTCAGACCGAGTTCAACCAGGTCTTTTCCTGTCCCCCTTGCAGAAGAAACAGGATCCCCCCATTGCAGAGCTCTTCAGAAGCCACCACAGAGCTGCCCCCTTCCATGTTATCTCCCACTCCAGTGCCTCAGCACTGGTAAACTCCCCATAGCAAAAAAGAGAAATGTGTTTTCTAGCTCCAAAACCAAACCTCTCCTTTTAAAAAGCTTGCAGCCATTGCAATGAAGACAGATGTACTGTATGGAGAAGCCTTCCACCTCCCACCCTGAGCAGCCAGCTTCATTTGGAAAGCTGAGGGAAAAAACACAATCATCCAAGCCCCAAGGAAACTCTTCCGCTGCACCACACACAAATTGGACATATTTGAATTTAAAAGTCTCAAACCCCAACACTTATGCAACTGAGACAGACAGGGGGCAGGCTGGGACACGAGAAGGTTTTCATTAGTACCTATCAGCTGGGAACTGCCCCATATGAAAGGTAGAAACTGGAAGTCATCCAAGCCCCACACGCCCTGGCTGCCAGCAGGCTCCATCCTGTAGGTCTTCTGAAGTTTTCGCATCACTTCGAGGTACCTGAGACCAAGGAGAGAAGGAAGGGTTAAGACAAGGTCTTCTTCTATCTCCACTGACTTACATGAGGCCAAGAACCACCAGTCTGCTTACAAGCAGGACCCCACCTCAGCACAGTACATAGAATTCAACTCCTTTGCCACAGAAAGCAGCCTGAAGGTACATATAGTAGTAAATTCCAGCCCCTTCTAAAAACTGTTGTTTTGGCTCGTTGTTGGTTTGGGGATTTTTACACCAAATTCACTAACAAATCAATGGCAGGGCTCTATTTTACTGAATGTGTCTCATGTTGGTGCAGATCTTCCCTCACCCCCATTGTTATTCGATAACCCTGACACTTTGCTCTCCTTCAACAACTTCCAGAAGACCTCAGAAAGCTTTCCCCCTTATGGCAACTGCTACCTCCACTTTTCAGCTGGAAAACTAAAGCTGGAAGCACCATTGAAGGGAATTCTTTCCCTGCTACCAAACAGTGATACAGCCGGGATTGGATCTCTGGACCCCAAACACCCATTCCACCAGTTTCATCAGTACCAACTCTACCTCCTGGGCTGGAAACACACCTCGAGAAGCAATGGGGACCTGCCAGTTTCATAGAGGGCTTTTTTAATGCCCAGAATGCTGTCGGATCCTCTGATCAGGTCTGTCACAAAGCACAGTGCTTCACCCACATACCTCTGCAAAGCTCAAGAACTGGTGCTCAGCTCAAGTAACCTTCCAGAAAGACACTGCCTCTAATAGACAAAGTGCTCTCACCTCTTTTGGAGGCAGTTATCACGGGTCACCCACCACACAGACCATTAAACAGTACATCTGCCTCTCAGTTTTGTCTAAATTTGCCTTCAGTTTTCCCACTCTGCTCTTTTTCACCTATGCCAGCAAGGCCTTCAGCACCCATGTTCATGTCTCTGAAGGCCCTCAATTGCCCAGCTCACACCCCAAGGAGGAGTCTCATTTTGTTACTCCCAAATGGGTGTGGATGAGTGGAAGGAAGGGGCACAAGAAGGCTATAGGAGGAGTCTGGTGCATAGAACAGGCAGTAGCATCTCACACAGCTGGAAGAGGACAGGGTCCTGCCACACTGCAGCCCTTCTCCTTCCATTACCTCACCTGTTAAATACTTTAAAGACAATGGCCATCTGGTCATCCACTCTGAGCACACCGATTTTGCAGAGGCAGCAGAGAAAGGCTGCAAATGCAGCTTCGTGACCTAAAGAACATGAAGAGATGTGACGCTGGGGTCTCTGGAGCCCAGGACAAGCTTCCTGTAGGCACAACGGCTCTTCAGAAATCACAGTCTTGTCTCAAATGCCTTAGTTTTATTGTCCCTATTAAAGCCATGAGCTGACAGTATTTCATCCCCACACAGCATCCCCCTGAAGATACCTTCTAGACATCCATTGTTAACTTTGAGAAAGGAACTGCAGCTCCCGGTGTAGGAACAAAACGCACCTATAGTCGCCACCGTGAGCTAGGACACGAGCTTCTCTCTGGCTTGGGACACACAGGAGGGGAGGAAAGGCTGAATTTCCTCCCCTGAGCTGACAAAACCCCAGCCACTGGGTCCCTTTCCAAGGACAACATCTCCCCCTGGTGCCGGCGAGCAGCAGCTCTCTGGCAAGCACTGCACCACCTCCAGCTCTTCATCCTTTTACCCACGTCCTCCTCTTCCTCTCCCTATCCAGGTTCAAAGCGGTGTTTCCTTGCACCCACAGCATCCTTTTCTCCTGCCTTTTGATGCCCAGGTACCTGTGCCATAGTCAATGCGGGTGGAATTCCCCACGGATTCCTTCAAGTACACAGCCACTTCTGGCGCAGCAGCAGCCAAATGCTTGGGAATCACTGTTGCCACCAACTTCTCTGCTTCCTGAAAGACACAAGAGACTCCCTTGAGTGAGGGCAGATGTGTCCCATCCCCAGGAAACAGTCCCCCCCCTGCTCAGACACTGCTGCAGAGTGGGAGCTGCAATGGGGCCGTGGCCAGAGCCAGCAGGGCAGAGGGAATCTCCTGTTGAAGAGCTCATCTCCAGAGATGGAGCAATCCAAGGAGAGGTTGTCCTGACATTACCCAGACCACAGGTATTGTGCAGGGAAAAAAGCTTCATCATCCAAGTCCATCAACCCACTTACCCCCTTGAGTCAGCTACACAACAAAAGCATTAAGAGAGCAGCAGACCTCCTGCAAGCTCATTGTGGCTGGGACTGTGCCACCTCCAGAGCTCAGTGCAGGGCAAGTGCTCTGAGCTAAAGGAATTGGAGCAGTTTCACAACCTTCCTCTGATTTTGTGTCAGCCATCAGCCAGCAGACAGAGGGCAGGTACAAACCAAAAGAGATCCTTGGGTTTAGAGGGGCCTTGTGGCTCATCCAGGACCAGGAGACCCAGCCAAGAGCATTTATGTGGACCACATGCTCTCATAAGAGGAGAAGACAGCACCAGATCAGGGGGAAGTGATGCATATCAAGAGGTGGATCCTTTACAGCTCATCTGAGCAGTTCCTCTGGAGGCTGCTTGGCTGCACACAGGGATGGAGCTGTTCTGCTGTCTCTGCTGGGCATGCTGCCCTGCTGTAGGAGCTGCATGTATGCTACACGTGAAAGCCATGCTCACCTGGTCTAGTTTGGCATACCAGGTCCTGAAGGCTTTGTTCCCGAAGCGAGAGGGTTGATCCACTGGTGGGGTTTCATCAATCCATCTGTCAAGGGTGTTCAGGAGAGCCACCAGCTTTTCAATGGGCTACAGAGACAAAGAAGATGAGGGGTTATGGTGACATGAACCAGAGCAGTCCTCTGGATTGGAGTTGTTAAGGCCCATACCATCCTTCTCAAGGGTGACAAGCAGAAACAGGATGTGCCAACCCTCCCAGAAAGGCACAGGGCTGGGTTAGCCTTACCCACAGCAGATCAGTCCACTACAAAGCCCAGCCTGAGGCAGGCTCTTCAGCCACCCACACAGACTTTCCTGAGCTGTTAACAGCACTGTGCTCTAAAGCCTCTGGGAGAATTGCTACAGCAAGCTCCTAACTATGGGGCACACAGCACTGAGCAGCAGGGAAGTGCTACAGAGGTCAGGGATCCCCAGCACAAAACTCAAGGCTCTGCATCTTGAGGGTCCTGGATCCCCCATTGGATACAGTATGGCACTTACTACATAACCTCACCAGTGGCTGGTGATGTGATCTGCCCTTTTCAAGGCCTCTAAACTTTGTCCTGAAGTGTCTCTTAGGAGGCAGGATTAGCAGTGTTGGTGTTTGTACAGCACCCAGCACAGCAGGGCCTAATCACAAGTCAACCTTTTCAGCACAGTTCCTGTTGCTTCCAACTCATACCAGCAAGGCAGTTCCAACCCAGGGATACTCAGTGGCAAAATACAACCTATCTAGAGGCAGCCTGGTTTGCCCAACAGTGGTTTCATCAGAGCAAGCATGAGAAGCTCTCAGTTCTCATAGAAATATCTCATCACAAACAGAAAGCTGATGGGAAGACAACAGCAGGAAAACAGAGCTCCCTTTCTTATATCTAGGAGGAATGTGTAGGATGCAAGAGAGTGACTGCAGTTGACACTGTTGTGGCCATGAAGGAAGAGAGATCCAATACACAGTACAGCAGAGTACAGACTGTACAGTTAGGACCAGGGCTGGCCAATGCACAGCCTCCTCCCTGCTTTGCCCATATAGCACCAAGAGGCAACACCACAGGCAGCACTTTAAGCCGCCCCCAATGCTTGTAGGAGGCTGTGCTGATGACTGGTCAAGCCTGCCAGAGGCACTGGGATTCTCCTCGCCTGACTCCAAGCAGCCACCACAGCAGCTGGCCAGGCCCCGGGCAATGGAGCTCCTGTGTCTCGAGAGGGGATTCCTCCTTCAAGGGGACAAAGAGGACAGCAGAAGCAGCGGCTGGTTTGACTTTGCTGGAGGCATGTGAAGCCGGCTGGTCTCCTGGGCTGTGGTTCAATCCTTCACGTCTTGCCTGCTGGGAGGACAAGGAAAGAGCCGAGCCCAGCACGTTCCCAGCCCTTGAAGTGCCACTTGAAGGGGCAGGCAGAGATGGGCATGGCAGAGCTGTGCTGAACCAGCTGCAGATCGCTCCCTGCGCCCTCTGCTCCCAGGAGGAAGGGTCCTGTGGCAGACACAAGCTCCCACAGACAGCAGCTCCCAAGCTGCCATCCCAAGGATGTGGTGGGATCACCAGTGGGCAGCAGGACTGGGCAGGGGAGAGATCCACTCACCCCACAGGACCTCAACACTTGGCTGCTGCGCCAGGCTAGAGGCTAGGACAGATTGAAGACAAGACCTAAGGCCCAAGTGCCAAGGGACAGAGGGGACCAGAAACTCCTCTGGGGAGGCTTCAAGCTGGAGCAGGCCAGTGACCCACATACATCTGGACCAAGACAGTGCAGCCCCCTCTGCTTCAGCTCCCTCCTACGGATACCCAGCACCTCCCCAGTGCTCGGGGCCAGGTTTGGACCCAGCCCTGCTCCTTCCTGGCTGTTGCGTTCCCCTGCAATTAAGCAACAGCCTCCCCAGCCCTGGGTTGCATTAAATAATTAAACCATGCTGGTGATTTATCCACCAGCACCAACAGCTCATTCCCAGCAGCCCCCGTATCCCAACCCCTTCCCAGCGAGCACTCGGAGCTGCCTGGATAAATGGCTGGCAAGGACCAGCTCCTTCCCCTGGGGAGCAGCAGGGTCCAACCTCCCCTTCCCCACTCACTTGCTTTAAAGGGATTAAAAAGCCCAGCCCCACTGCACACGGGAGAGCAGGACCCAGCTGCTGGCTCAGCCATGCCAATAAATAATTCAAGAGATGCAGCTCATTTTGGGCTCAAAGCCCTTTGAAAAGGGGGTTACTAAAAGAAGCTGCTTCCCATTGTCCAGCAGAGGAAATCCTAGATCCAGAGCTAACCCCAGGTGGGAGAGAAGGAGGGGAAGAGCTGAGCTTCCCGGAACACAACCATCAGCACCACTGCAGCCTTATTTTGCCTGGCTGGGCTTTTAAGCTCTATTTTTGCTTTACCTTTCCAGTGATCAAAGCAAGGACAGCCTCCCCCCTGCTCTCCTCATTGTGCTGATTGTGCGCTGCCTTGACCCTGAGCCTGCCACTGGTCCCAAAGGCAAACCACAGAGCCTCCTACAGAGCGTAGACCTGTCAGCATCTCTCAAGAGCAGGGGCCAGGCAGACAGAGGTGCTGAGAAGGCATCTCAGCAGCCAAAGCTGCCTGCAGGGACCGAGCCTGCCCCTGCGGGCTCCTGGAGTAGGGGGGAGCTCCTGAAACCAGGGCATTTGCTGCTTCCCTCTTGGAGCTACAGACCAGCCAGTTTCCTCCCAGTGCAGTGGGCTGTGTGAAAGGAAGGTCTGCTCCTCACATGGCCAAAATGAACCTCCTCCTCCTCGCTGCACTGCTCCTCTGATCAAAGTCACAGCTCTGAAAGTGCTCCAGGCTGCAGCCCCAACAGTAGCTGCACGGATCCCCACGTGAAAAGCATTCCCTGCAGGAGGAGAAGGCAGGTCACAGCCTATCAGTCAGACAACCTTGTGCCAGACACAGTGTCTACACCAGAGTCCTAAGCAACAGCTCAGCTATCGCTGTTTGTCAGATGCCTCCAGCAAAACCCCAGACAGCTCCATGCAATCCTGCAGTAAGAGCAGAGCAAGCTCAGCAGGTCTCAGAAGGGGCTCAGCCCCCAAAGGATCCAGCAGACAGTTTGGTATCGACACATGCTATGCTGGAAACCATTAAGCTGTCTCGTTCAAAGCACAGCAGACCATATACTTCCCTGTGTTTCTTTTCCATAGCAAAGCAATAGCAGTAGGTCACAGAGAGGATACACATTCAGCAGAAAGGATTCCAGGAGGTCATTTGCCCAAGGAAAGCGTCCTCAGCATTTGATCAGGGAGGAAGATGGGATGGCACAAAAGCACATCAGCAGCAGGTACAGCAAAGGAGAAGAAAGCAGAGCAGAGATGCAAGCAGAGGCCACAAGGGGCTGAGCCTTTAAAAGCACAGATAAGCAGTTTGATGTACAAAGGAACCTGCGTGAACAGGCAACCTCATCAACACGGCAACCCTGGGGATGCTCCACCTGTGCCTCCAGCCACAGGCTTCTGCTCTCTTCAGCACCAGGGGGGTGAGACCCATTCCCTGCCACTTCCCAAGCAGTGGGATTGTGTCTCTTGTTGTCACCTGGACTGGAAGCATGGATGGAAAACATTCCCTCCAAGAGGCATCTGCTGCAAGGATGCAGCCCTGATACAGAGCTGACAGCTCCGAGGGGCTGGCAGAGAATGGTTTTTTCCCCTCTCCTTTGTTTTGCTCATTTTTAATGCTTTGTTTCCCTAGAACTGCTCTGTGAATGGTTGGGAATGAGCGAGATCCTGACAAAGAGAAAACTCAGAGGTGAATGCAAACAGCAGAAAGCAAGAGCAGCATCTGACAGCAGTTTCTACTGCATTGAAGGAACAAAAGGTGGACGCAAAGCCTGTTGGGGAAGGACTTGTTATCCCTGATGTCCCCCTTCACAAGAAGTACAAGCAAGTTTCTCATCCATACACTGGCTCCTAGAAGGGAGGGCTGGACTCAACATGCCTGCTTCAAACATAAATGACTAGGTTAAAGATCACTGTAGGCTGCCTTCCCACACCAGAATTAAGCTCCAAACACACAGGGCCCAGCCTGCTGCCCATTCTGCCTGGATCTTTTTAGACTATTCCCAGCTTTCTTGCACAACCATGGTAAGTTTGAACAGTAAAATGCACCCAAGAATCTCTTCATTGAATACAGAACAAGGGAGGGGGGGTCCAGATGCAGCACAAAAGCAAAGGTGGTGGCTAAATCTGCTCTGCAGATCACAGCAGCACCCAGAGAGCCCTCAGGCCAGCAGTGAGGATGGCTGAGGTCAGGCAGTAACACTAGTGAGGACAACCTGCCCTCTCCCTCTGGCTCCAAATGGTTTTGTTGTGCTTTAATAAAGTGAACAAGCCCTACAGCAGAGCCAGGTGACAGTCACATTGAAGCAAGGGGATAAACACGTCCTTTTTCTCCTAACACCTTGGAAGGGGCAATCCTGCCCCACAGGCTAACCCAACCACCTCAGCTCCTGTTTGCTCCACAGTCCCCATTGCAATTTGCTATGGCAAGGCAGGGCCAAAGATATGCCTTGAGCTTCAACAGTCAAACCAGACCCTGCACAGCTCAGCTGCTGTGAAAACCGGGTTAAAATACGTCCTTTTCTGCATCCTCCTCCTCATTATCAGCTCCTGTCCACTTGTAATTTGCTTCATTTCCCATCCAGTGAGCACACACAGAGCCTCCGCATCCTGGATGCTGACATTTGCATCCCCAGTTGCATTTATTCTCCCTGGCTCCCAGCTAAGCTGCCAAATCATTCCTCACCTAGGAAATAATTCACTGTAGAGCCAAAAAGAAAAGGAAAAAAGGAAAAAAAGAAGGCAGAAAAGAAGAAAGAAGGGATCCAAACTCCTCTCCTACCTCTGAAACCTTGTATTCGCAGGTCAGCTTCTTGCCCTTGACACCTTCATTCAGAGTGAGGATGAAGCCCATGTAATCCGCATATGCCTGCAAACACACCCAAGAAAGCAGGGTGTTAGTGAGCACCCATGGTCTGTCTGACCAAGCAATGTGGCATGGAAACACTCCTGCCCTCCCAGGGAGCCTTTCCCAACAGGCAACGCTGCTCTCTTGGAGACAGCCAAGGTGCAGGGCTGGCTGTGAGGTTACTGCTATTTTGGGCAGGAGGCAGATGGTGACTGCACCAAGAACTCTGAATCCTGTGGAAACAGAGAGGAGAATCCTAAAGATGCTCACACTGCTCCTGAAATCATTCCTACAGCTCCCTGCCTCCTGCCAGGTCAAATTCAAGCTCAGCTGGGCTCAGTTGTGCCCACACATCCTGCTCTGCTGCTCCCAGACCTGCACCATTATCTCCCCTTTCTTCCTTCTACTCTTCTCCCATGCTCATGCATTTTAGAGGAGTGGCAGACAGCCCAGGCTGCTCTTCCCTTTAAACTGGCTGCTTTTGAAGCACCATATCCAGTGTCTGGGAACAGCAGACAAGCACACTGCCACCTCTCCCTCCTCAGGCCTCTCTTACACAGAAATCCTGACCAGGAGCAAGTCCTTAAACCCAGGAAACAAAGCAAAGAAGCTGCACTTAAAGACCTGCCTGACACCTGGCTATAACTTAAGCTTCTCTTAAGCCATCACAGATCAGTCTGGAAGGGAGAAGTTGCTCCTAAGAGGTGGGACAAGTCTGGGCTAACACACCAAGCCCTCCGAGGCACAGAGGGGAGAACCTGCCTGTTCCACCAGCTCCATGCATACTGTAAACAGAAATTACCCAGGCAATTGAAGGCCTGGGCTGTAGAGCCCTTGCCAGTATAGCAGGGTGGGAAGGCCTCAGGAACCAATTCAAACTGGTGCTATTAGAGGACCAGGACCACACTGAGTTCAATCAGTGCTGGGTAAATCCAGTTTTGGTGTAATGTCAGACCAGGTAGGGTGGAATAGTAACCAGCTTCTTGTCGAGCCTGTTGGGAGGGAGCACTAATGATTTCTAAGCATCTCTGGGCTCTCTCAACATCTGGGCTCTCCCTGGCTCCCTCCTTTGTTGGAGCATTTTGCTGCCAAGTAATTTTCCTACAAACAGGCAGTGACTCTTCTGCTTTAAAACACAAACCAATTCATTTCCCATTACTTGCCCAAACCTGCTTTACCTCTTGGCTGCTCCCAGACCAGACCTGGCTGCCCCTGAAGCATAACCACCACTTACCAGCCTTCCCTGAGCCCAGAGCCGTACCTGAGAACGCTTCCACTTGGCCATGTCAGAAACCATGTTTATCTCCTTTTTGGGGATCATGAAGCATTGCTGGAGGGGAGGAGTCACCTCCTCAGTGGTGCCTGGGAGATGCAGAAAAGAGGTAAAATAGAGAGTGAAGAAGAAGGAATCCTCTGTCTTAGAAATCAACACGTATTTCTTCAGAGACCTCTCCCAGCTTGCACTGTTATCTCACCAAGTCCTCCTCACCAAACAGTGCCCTCCCAATCCCCAGATAACATACTCCTAAGGACACTGCAAGGCTTCAGAAAGTGGCATTATGCTTGTTTTCCCCACTAAAGATACATACCCATCCAGGCAGAGAGGCTGGTGCAGGAGATAACAAAGACAACACCCACCTAGTTTCCACCTAGCAAAGCCAAGCCTCAGGCCATGTGGAGCACTGAGCTCTCCTAATATATTAACCCTGCCTTGGGTTTAGGGTGTTAAACCTGAGCTGCTTTCCTCTAAAAACGCCAACTCCTGCAAAGATAAAGCTGTAGCAATTCAATAGGTGGCACTCCAGAGCCGCAGCCCCTGGTCCAGGCAGCACAAGGGCTTGGAGGATTCCAAGACAGCCTCTTCCAGGGGGATGCTGTGAAGATCATTTCATTTTAAAGCTCTCCCAGAGCCCAGAATGTAATATTTAACCCAAACACAAGTTGTTAATGCTCTGCAGGGGCTCTTTTCCCCAGCCTCCAAACCCAGGTTTGCTGTAAGGGGGACGGCAATGGGACTCTGGAAGCCACAAATGCTGCATGAAGTTAGAGGTGATTTGTGTTACGCTCCTATAAGTGTAAGCTTTCAACAGCAAGAGGCAGGCAGGAGACCACCGTTAAGGAACGTGGGTGCTGATGTGAAACTGCATTGTGTCAGAGTCACCCAGCTCAGCTTGTTAATCCTAGAACATCTGAAGGCATTTGCTCAGCACCAGCACCAGCTCCAGCGGCTGCTCTCCGCACTACCACAAGTTCAAGCACCGGCTGCATAACACACACATAGAATGGTTTGGGTTGGAAAGGACCTTAAGATCATCCAGTTCCAACGCCCTGCCATGGGCAGGGACACCTCACACTAAACCATCTCACCCAAGGCTCTGTCCAACCTGGCCTTGAACACTGCCAGGGATGGAGCATTCACAACCTCCCTGGGCAACCCATTCCAGTGCCTCACCACCCTAACAGGAAAGAATTTCCTCCTTATATCCAATCTAAACTTCCCCTGTTTAAGTTTTAACCCATTACCCCTTGTCCTGTCACTACAGTCCCTAATGAAGAGTCCCTCCCCAGCATCCCTATAGGCCCACACCACAAACTCCAACTCCTTAAAACACAATGAGCTGCATTTACATAGAAAACACTACCCAGGAGCATGAGCAGCCCTTTCTGCAGCAGAGCTGCACTGTCTTGGAGGCAGATTAAGGGCAAAAAGGAATCCCAAGTCACAGGAACCACTGTGACCTGGGTCTGCTGCAGACTGTCACACAAGCTTCGGTAGTCGTTGAGCTTCTCTGCCTTTCAGATTCCTCATCTGTGGAACAAACCTCATCACCTGCCCAGGGGTTCTATGGTTAATTCCAAAGTTACAGTAAAACTTCCAGGTACAAGGACAGAGGAACACAGAGGGAGTTTCAATGGAAGTCACCCATGCCTCTCCTGGAAATCCAGCACACAGCTCAGTGACCAGCACAGCAACTATGGAGCTCTTACTTTAAAAGAGCTCAGAACACCAAAACAATGATAAACTGTGGGGGGAAAGGCAAACAATGACTTGTTCCATCAATACAGATGGTACAGAAAGGCCAGAGATGGGGCCAGGGCAGTGCCCTGGAGGGGGGGGAGCCGGCTCTCAGCCCAGCCTCTGTCTCCTCGCAGAACTTGGGTCCTTTCTTATTTGTTTCTCAGCCGTCCCTTTCCTGACACACGCACTTGATGTACTGACTCCTGGGGAGGGGACCACTGATACTGAAAGAAGGAAGCACAGTGCGAGCTGCGGAGGTTATAATAATACAGATGCAAAAGTCCAAGCTCGTGGGGAGTGCAATGGACCCCTGCAAACAGCCCCCACCGCAGCACGGGAAACCGGAGCCACAACAACCGGGCTGTGGGTGCCGGGGAGCCCCGACTGCAGCAGCTCCAGCACCCCAGAACCCGACCGTGCAGGCCCGAGGCTCCCCCGCCCGTCCCCGGTCCCAGTCCCTGCGCTGGGTGCAGAGCCCAGCTCCGCCGCCTCGGGGTGCGGGGGGGAACAGGCGCAACGGGGCCGGGGCTCCCCGCCCCGCCCGGCCCAGGGTAAGGCTGCTCCGGGGCCCCTTCGCAGGCGCAGCAAAGCCTCTTTCCCCTTCACCCCCTCAGAACCGGGCACTCGCTGCCGTCGCCCCCCTGCAGCACAAGGCCCTGTGGGCCTCCTCCCGCACACCCTGGCCCGGCCCCAAAGACACCCCCGAGGGCCCCGAGCGCAGCCCCGGAGGCCCCAGGGCCGCCCCTCACCTGCCCGTCGCTCGCTCTCTGCCATCTTCCCGGAGCCCGGCCGCCGTCACCACCCCTCACCCCTCACCTCCGACCACACCGAAGCCGCCGGCGGCCATCTTTGAGCCGGGCACGCCGCCCGGTCCTGTCACTCGCGGGGCTGTCACCCGGAGGCGTGTCTCCTCCCAGCCTCCCGTCCCTCCATGTTTGTGTGGGACACGGTCTCTTGTGTCCACGCAGGACCGCGGGGCGAGGAAGCACGGCTCGGCGAGCAGGAGAACGCTTCTCGCCGGCTCGCAGGTGACGGAGGAGCCGCATCCCCGCCCCGACACGCAGCAGCGCTCCCCCCCTTCACTGTGGGATCGTGCCCTTCACAAAGATGGCGGCGCAGGCTTCGCCCCGCTCCAAGATAGCGGCGGGTCGGCCCCGCCCCTTGGCGGCCGAGCGGGGCGGGGGCGCCCGGTGTTGCCGGTGTCCTTGCTGCGGGCGGCAGGCAGCTATGCTGGCTCGGGTGGCGAAGGCTGCGGTGAGTGCGGGGACACCGCGGGATGGGGAACTCTGGGTGCTCCGGGATTGGGGGGGGAGATGGCGGCCGGGCTGCGCCACCCGCACCGGGAAGGAAGGGGCTGGCTGCGGTTGGGGGCTTCCCTGTGCGGGCAGCGGGCGGACAGCAGAGCCGGGGCTGCGTCCCCCCCGCACGGTGGCCCAGGCCGGTTCCGCGGGGTGGTGAGCTGGGGTCGGTCTGTGCTCCCAAGGAACAAGGGATGGGACAAGAGGAAAGGGCCTCAAGCTGCACCAGGGCAGGTTTAGATGGAGCTGAGGAACAGTTCCTGCCCCAGAGGGTGCTCAGGCATTGGAACAGGCTGCCCAGGGCAGGGCTGCAGGCACCGGCCCTGCAAGTGTGCACACACCGTGGAGACGAGGCCTCAGTGCTATGGGTTAGTGGTGGCCTTAGCAGTGCTGGGCAATGGTTGGACTGGGTGAGCTTAAAGGGCTTTTCCAACCTGGTTGATTCCATGAGGGAGGAGGTGGCTCCGCAGCTCTCCAGAGTTCACCCCAGCACAACCACGTTGGTGCTGTCAGGGTCCGGTCCTGCACCCTCAGCCTGGAGGAGAACCATGGCAGGGCTGTATGGATGGAGGCTGAGGCCTTCTGCTCCGAGGATCTCAGTTGTGAGGAGCGTGCAAAGGGAGCCATGAGAGTACTGCTTATCCGGGGGCAGGAGGGACACTTGAGGCTCTTCAGGAGCTTGGTCACCAGAGATGGAGGGCATGGGGCTGGGTGATGGCAGGGAAGGTGAGTGCTGGTCGGCCCAAGGAGCCACCATGTGTAGCTGCAAGCTTTGCCTTTAAAACACAACTTTCCCTGCAAGAGGAAGGCTACACATACAGCAGAGCTGTCAGCCCCACTCCTAAAGGAACTGTTTATTGCACTGATGGATCCCAGGGAGGAGAAGGCAAAGCAGGATGACAGCAGCTACGTGAATGGATGTGCTCCTGGGAACACTTCCCAAGGGGCTGGTTGGCTCTGGGCTAGAGGGTTGTTTAGCTTCTAACTTAGACATAAAGAGACAAGCCTCTGCCATCGGACACCAGGTATTGTAGCCATGCTGGGAATCAGGCACTGCCCCCAGCCACAGGCTGTAGGTGCACTTCCCACCAGCTGGAAAAGGTCATGGCTGTGTTGGAACGTGGCTGGGGAGCAATGCCAGCCCACAGGCTGCCCTGCCCCTGCCTGCGCACCCCGCTGTCTGCTGGTGTTGGTTTCCCTGCTGCTTGTGGGGAGAGGGAGTATTTGCTGCCAGCTGCTATCCCTGTGCCTCTTCCCACCAAACACTTGAGTTTCACATCAAACCAACCAAACAGAGAATGTAAAAGAGAAAAGGTACAAATGTGCCCCACGTTTTAACCATTATTTGGTTTAGGTTTTCCCTTTGGTAACACGAAAAATCCCAAAATTGTTTGGAACCATCATACTTGACCTTAGGTATCATCATCTTGATCTTAAGACTAAGCTTGTCTACCCCACAAAGGAGGGGGTGATATTCCTCATGACTGCACATTTCTCATGCTGCCCTGCTGGGGAGATTCCTATTTTATTCTAAGGGATGACAATGCAGAACTGCCCAAAGCCTCCTCTTGCAATAATGGCCATGCATGAGGCACGAGGGTGGTTAGGACACTGCCTTTTGCCCCAGGGTGAATGTGTTCCCATGTCCAACTAATCCTACACACCTACAGAGCTGGTGGCTCATACCTGGTTCCTTATGGAGAGCTGCCCTCCTCTGACACCCTCCAGCCACCTTTGCCTGAGCAATGGCCCTAAGTTGCTCATCCCATCCAGCAGCAGCCCACAGTAGCACATGCTTCCAAGACACAGACTGGGGTCTCTCCTGCCTGATACTCAGGGTTCTCTCACACCAGCCATGAAAAGGCTGAGGGAACACCATCCCCAGCGCCTTCACTTCTGCCATGGCTGCAGACCCAGAGCAAGAGGCTCTAGTGAGGAAGCACCAATGGGGCAGTGCAGGGCTGATGGTTGGTGGCCACGGGAGGGTTCCTCAGAGAGGCGCCTTGGTGGCAGCTGATGCACGCTGATGGTCTGATTACCCCTGACCTGTGCTGGGCCTGGCCTCGAGCCCTCTGATCAGAGCAGCCACGTGGCAGTTCACTAATGAGGTGACGCCCTGCACGGGCACCACATTGTCAGGTGGAAGAGGAAACCGAGACAGGCAGAGAGAGAGCTTTACGGTCTTTTCTGGCCTACCAGCCATGGATAGGAAGCAGCAGCAAGCAGAGGAGGTACGGTATGCCCACACTGCCAGCATTAACACCCTTTATTTCTTCCCAGCCCAGCTCTGCTTTCATGCTTCAGCAATTCCCCCTTCTCTTGTTCTTAACATACCTTCTGCAGACCTCAAATCTCATAGTTCTGGGGTCTCAGTACCACGCAGAGGCTTTGTCACCTTGTAGATTTAGCTCCTTTCTTCTTCTCTGTGCTGGGAGGAGGTGGGGGGACAGCTATCTTCTCATTGCCTTGGAAATCAAAGGGAATGTTCTTACTGGCTTTGCATCCTCCATTGCGTTGCAGTGCACTGACAGTGCAAAGTCCAGAGTCCTGTTGGAGACTGTCCGGTTCAGTGCATCAAATAGAGGGGGAGGAGCAGAGGGAACTGAAAACCTTTAAAGTACAATTTAAACATCTTCATGCTGAAGATGAGCTTCACACATTGGTATTCTTTTGAGGGAAAACCAGCAAGCTCATTTCCTGGTTAGCAGCCGGGTTTGCTCCATTCCACTTCTCCACCAGGTAAATGGTATGGTGGTTTCTAAGGCTTCGGACTTCAGGAGACAGTTTCCCCCCTGTTCCCTCTCCAAAAGCTCCTGGAATCTGGCCAGTTCCACACTGGTACAACTGGATAGCCATTCTCTGGATATAGCTGGGTCCTCCAGTAACTGGGAGGTTCATGAGCATAAAGGAACATTGCCCCAAGGCCTACACATTACAGCCAGTCCTTCCCTGACCATCACTGGGATGTATGATCCCTGGCCAGTCAGGGAGGAGGCATTTTAATCCTCCCCCAAAGTTACTTGCATTCTGCCTCCTCAGAGCCCAGTGGGTAGTTTGATTTGGCACATGGGTTCTGCTTAACTTTCTATCTAGCCTTAGGCTGCTGTAAGGAGGAATGGAACCATTTCTGACAGTAATATGAGTATTTCTTCTGTAATTTACTCTTTCCAATCACCATGGCATGGAAGGGTTTGACTTGTCGAATGTATGGAGGCTCACAGCTGGAAAGGTGCCCGGGAGTGGGAGATATATCATTATTTTGGCAGCATTTCCTCTGATGACCTGAGAATCAGTATCTTGGGAGATCAAGTTTCCCTTTTGCAGCTTTTCTGGATGGCCTACAACCATCTGTAGCACACAGTCAGTAGACCTGTGCTTGCTTTTGCACTTTATGTGCTCTGCTTCATGTGCAGAGACATCCTTGTGCTTCAGAGAGGCTGGGCTGGATACCCCCAGCTCCAGCTTATTTGCTGGAGGGGGAAGTTTTGTCTTGACATTTGCTCTGTGCTCTGCAGGCCAGGCCTTGCGGCCTGCTGAAGCCAACAGCTGTAGGCAAGATCCCAGGCAGATTCCATGTCCATCAGGAAGCGCTGCCCCATCTCCCAGTGCCGCCGCTGCAGCAGACACTGGACCGGTACCTGCTGGCTCTGCAGCCCATCATCAGCGAGGAGGAGCTGAACCACACGCAGGAGCTGGTGGCTGAGTTCTGCAAACCAGGAGGTGTCGGGGAGAGGCTGCAGAAAGGCCTGGAGAGAAGAGCCAAGAAAACAGAGAACTGGGTAGGTCAGGCCCCAGGCTCTGGTTGGGGAGGGTGTTACCCACACCTGCACCTCGGTTTTTGTGGCATCACCTTCTGCTGCTGAGCTGTGCAAGCTCCTCACCAGCACTTGGGTGAGCAGAGAGATTTATGGCACAACAGGCAGTCACTGACCCTGTCTGTGGCTTCTGTTAGCACCACACAGCAGCCCCAAGATGTTGAAGAAAAGCCTTTGCTCCAGCTCTGCACCAAGAACCACCACCTCCTTATTCAAACCCCTCTCTACCCTTCCATGTGCAAAGCATAGAACCCAAACAGCTTGTTTGCAAAGTGGGGGCAGGATGCCGAGACCATTCAGCCAGGCTTGGGTCAGACCTCCATGTCTCCTTTCTCCATCCCAGCTCTCAGACTGGTGGCTGAAGACAGCTTACCTGGAGTACCGCCTGCCCGTTGTGGTCCACTCCAGCCCAGGCGTGGTTTTACCCAAGCAAGATTTTGTGGATCGACAAGGTCAGCTCAGGTAAAGTCCTTTTCTGCTTCCCCCTAGGTTTCAGATGGGATGAGCTGTCTCTGCTGGACAGGGAGGAGGGTATTTAGGCTGACTGGAAAAGAGAGTAATCATCATGTGGTCCCCAAGCTTGATAGCTGGCTGTGCTGTGCAAGAGGGCTGTACAGATAAGGAAGCTCCTGGTTGCACCAGACTAAGTATTTTGTCAAGGGGGGGAAATCAGAGCCCAGTGGTTCAGGTACTAAACAGGGACTAAAAACCTATCTATCAGTCTTTGCTCTAGCACAGAAATTGGTTGCGAGATGGACAAATCACAGCCTGGAGGCATTGTCAGGATTATCTCACACACTGAAGACTAAGAGGCACTAAGGTTGTGTGTGCAGTTAAAGGCATGAAAAAGTATCCCAGGCACGTAAGGGAGACCAACCAGGAATGCCT